ATTGCTCTGAGTTAAATGCGACAGTATCAATTTAATAAGTTGTCTAATAATAGATAAATAATATAACTTTGTATCATTTTTAACAGTACCAAAAACATCAGTACCATAAATTATCAATTAAATATTAAAGAATATGTTAAATGACACAACAACAATGAATAAAATAACAGGCAAGCTATAACCACATTAACTTAAAATAAAAAAGCGATAACATTGTTTCTGAGAAGTTTCAATTCAAATAAAAAAAGAGACACTGAAAAAAAAATTTACAATAAAATCCCAGAAACAACATTGTGACAGTGATATTTAGATAAAAATAACATAATTGTTCCATCTCTCTCACTCTTTGAAAACGAAAAGAGACAACAAATCAGTACAATTTAATTATTTCATCTAAATATCACCTTTATGTTCAGCAAAATAAGGTACAAATTACCGAAAACAGGCGACGACGGGTCAAGATCCCTAACGTCGGCGGCGTAGTCGTCCTGCGCGTGCTCGCCGCGCCCGCCGTCAGAGTGCGCTATAAACGTACGCACTACACAACCCCAAGGAACTACCCACTTTTAACTCAATGTTTTATTTTAATTTATTTTATTTTAGTATTTTATTGCAGTTTAATAGTTTACCAATAGTATCTGGTGATATATTTCACTGACAAAAGTTTAAACATAGGGTAAATAGTCTATTAATTACAAAACATTATAATCTAGGTTCCAACATTGGTTTTAACAAACTCATAGAATTTTTTAGTAACCGCTTTCGTTTTGTATTGTTGACGGACATATTGAAAATGTTGTAGTTTCATAATAGTAAAATCTGTGTATTGTTTGTTTTTAGAGTTTATTTATTAGACACGGTAGAAATGTGTTAAAACAAATGCAAAATAAAATTAAGCGAATGCTGTGTTTTCCAAAATGTAAATGTCTGAGAAAGCAGTGACATGTAACTTTTGAAAGCTCACTCGAGTGTATTTAAAAAGATAAAGCATTAAAAAAATCATTGTTTGATAGTTGATCTTTGATTCTCTAATCTTTGACATCAATGACAAGTGTCAGTTTGACAGTTACCTTTATACTCTGTGGTGTGCGACATGGTGGAGCCGGGCGGCGCGCTGTGCGCTTTGCCGGTAGTGACGTAAGCGTTATGGCGGACGCACAGATAGAGTGCGCTTAGCAACGGCACCGCTAATGCCTCTGACGTCTCCACTTGTACCGCGGACACGCAGATGAGGGATAATTTACCTCTTGCGTAGTCACCAATCGTCATACCGGCGCTAATATGAAAAGGTTATTTAAAAAAATATATAATATACACTCGTTTTCATCTTTTTACCTTTACTGTAAGGACAGTGAATAAAAAAACGTAGTCTATGATACTCAAAGATAAATTACCTTTTTAATGGTGAAAGAATTTTAAAATCGGCCCAGTAGTTTTTGAGTTATTTCAATACATACAAAAATACTTAAATAATTTTAGTATAGATTACTTACTACTCATTACATCCAGGGAACTCCGGCACAGGCAGACCTCTGTAATGGTACGGAAACGCGACAAGAGACAGAAGTAGGCTGATAGCAGCTTTCCTCAACTCGCGCTTATCTATCGACCCGCAGTCGATTTTAGGCTCTCTCTCCGACAGAATAAGGTCCAAAGCTGTGATGAAATCTGGCACTAACACCAGCACACCATCTAAGTCCAATCTGTTGAGAGTACAAAACAAATATTTAAGAAAAAAAAACTTACATCAAAGTATATTATTTATAACACGGCTAAAACTCAAGTGGGAACTTTCGGTGTAGGCACCGACCAGTTTACACCGAAAGTTCCCACGTGAGTTTTAGCCGTGTTATAAATAATATAGTATAATGTCTCACGAAAGTTTTAATAAGTTAATTACATCAAAGTTTTAATAATCTGCAAACCTTATTCTATGATGAGTGATTGTCATAATCTATGACAAAGAGTCGTCATAGATTAATCGATTGGTTATGTGTTATGTCAAGATACGAAATATTGTTAATCCAGACTAATAAAAATAGGGAAAACCAACTATATTCGAAATGGAAAAATAATTAATATTTCAAACAGCATTCAGTTCTCGTCAATGTATTATAGTTGTTTGCTTCGGTCAAATCAGATCTATCCAACCAAAAGCAACTACTATGAGTGACCAGTATAAGCAGACCCTCCTACCTGAATATATCCGCGGCATCTAGTACGATAGCGGCGGCGGTGGCGGGGTCTTGCAGGCCTCGTTGCAGCGCCGCGTACGCACGCGCTAAGTACGGCGCCACCACCTCCTCACGGCACTGCTTCGAGCAGATCACGCGGCATAATGTGCCCAAAGCCACCGCGCGACCTATCACGATGTCAATATAGTTAAACTTTTAAAAATACTGGCTGTAGCCCGACTTTGTCTGTGTGAAATTAAGAAAGTAGCCTATAGTATTAACTTTCTAGACTAGGCTAGAAACGCTTTCCAGTGATAGTCCCGATAAAATCGGTACAATCGTTTCGGACATACAGACAAACATGAAATTTTAAAAGTTGAGTATTCGTTATAAGCCAATACATATTGTACTTGAAATATAGAGTTTTATATTACTTGCATAGATTAACCATTTTATCTATTTTATTCATTTTTTAGCGTTTCAATGTTGAAAGCATTTTTAAATCTGTAAAGTGGTTTTATACCAACATAAAATACATATTTTTCTATTTCGAATGGATGTTTTCGAGAAGAAAACATAGTTTCAAAGATCAAGTATTTAACAGACTTACCAGGTTGGTAGCTCATCATGTTTAGTCTATGACTGGCGTCAGACAGAGACGGCGGCGGCGGAGTGCCTTCGGTTCTAGCTGAAAATTTAACAAAAACATAAACAGAGAAAAAGTCATAGGAAATATCTTTTTATTCTCAATAACTGTACTTACGTTGGTTGGTATTAGATGTAGTTCCTATAAGAGCCGCTTCAAACAACCATTCGCCAAACAAATGTAAGATGGAGTTTACTTTTGGACGTAACGGAGTCAATGGAGGTTTCTCTGTCTCGCCTACTGTGAAACAAAATGCACTTTAGACACTTATAATAAGAATTAAATTGGCTTATCATTGCAACTGTCAAAGCTATTTTAAAATAAATTTGAATTACAAATTACAATATAATATAACTGCGAAAATTTAGATGGATGGATTTTTGTTAGTGTTTGTAGTTGAAACTGCTGAACGGTACTTGATGAAATTTGTCATAGATTTTGTTTTTTTAATTCCACGCAAACGGAGTCGCGGGCGAAAGCTACTTGTTTAATAAACTACTTTATTACATTGTAATAAGGTGTTTTAAATGTTTACCTTGTGAGGAGATAGAATTAGGTGGCGTTGTAGGAGCAACGCTAGGTGGTCGACTGCCGGTCAATCCTATCAGTGAAGAGCGCGGAGTGCCTGCAAGATTTGAGGTTATTGTTCCAGAACATTCTAAACATTAGAATAATTATGCAACACATATTAGCACAAATTATTTGTACAAAGCCAAGGAAATAAGGCATATTAAGTAATACCGAGTGTATAAAAAGCATATTGAATTAAAATTTGCTGTACTTTATTCCCATAAGCATAAGGTTTAAATTCCAACAAGATAACAACGGAAATAAAATTGATAAAAAAGCTGCAAATTAGTGAAAAAGCTGAATTTTACTATCAGAAAAAGACATGCAGACAACTAAACACAATATTAACACAAACCTAAAATACGCCGTAAAACATTACACAAAAGGTTCAAAACTCCATGCTAACATAAAAACAATCACGAATGTCCATCGAGCTTAAACAAACTTTAACACATTGAACAAAAGGTCGAAAACTGCATGCAGACGACAAAACTAACGCCAACGTTATTTCAGCAAGCTAAAACAAACCTAAACACATTAGTGACAAGGTCGAAAACGTAATGCATACTTCGTTCAGCAAGCTTGTCGCGTGGCCTTGACGCCACGCTGAAGGACTTGGCGAGGCGGCGGTGCGCGGGGGGCGTCAGCTCGTCCTCGCCCTCCCCCGCCCCAGCGCCGCCCTGGGCCGCCCCTGACCCCGCCCCCGCCCCCGCCCCACAGCTCTCGCGCCAGTCCGCACCGCGCCCTGTGCCACCCTCACACCTCTACTACTGCTTGGCATTGATTTTTGTACATAATTCATTTCTAATTAAAAAATAAATTTATACATCATTCTTTTCGTCCTTACTCAAGTCTATTTTGAAAAAAGAAATTCCCTTAATCTACGTTCAATTTACTACCCGTTTCAATTTATTTAAAAAGAAAAAAATGGTGCATTTTAGGGTTAAAGTGTGTATATATAAAAAAAAGACAACCAAAAACCGTCATTTGTGGAAATAGATTTACTAGCGTGAAAAATTTAAGCCTCTTTATAAGGTATTCCACCTTATCAATAAATGAATGTGCAAGTTTTTTTTATTTACAATCGAATAATTTTGATCTTATGTACAAAAATAAATTACAAAAACAAGTTCTTTTCTCTAATAGATTTGTATTTAAAATCTACGCAAGGCACTTTCTAAATTATTTTTTTAGAATTCTAATTAACATATCAGTAAGGCTGTATACAAAGGGATTCAGAGCTTGTAAGAATTCTACGATGGATTTGCAAGCCATATATATTTCGATGGGTGAAAGGCTATTTGTTTTAAGCACCATTAGGTTAAATGTTCAGGAGAGCCATTTTCATTTAAAAAAAAAAAACCCTGAAAATAATTTCAATTGAAAGATTTTCAGACCGGTTCTAGGTTAAAATAACTTAATTCTTCATACTTTGTTATTTATTTCATATTTAAAATTCGCTGATTCTGAATATATACTGTATATTATATTGAATATATACATGTACGAGCTATCGCCCGCGAATCCGTCCGCGTGGAATTAAAAATATCAAAAGTGAGTAGCTTATGTGTTCTTCCAGATTATCCTCTACATCTATGCCAAATTTTATCGAGATCCGTTCAGCCGTTTGGGCTGCAAACTCTAACAAACATCCATCCATCCATCCATCCATCTAAACTTTCGCATTTATAATATTAGTAAGATAGTCAATTTCACCCTGAATGGCGTTTCAAACAAATAGCTTTTCACCCGTCGATATTATTATAACCTCCTATAAACATAACAATAAGACTAAATAAGTAAAATTAATCTTCAAAAAACGCGTGCACAAAATGCACGAATACATTTTCAAACATGCA